GCCCCCTTAACTAATCCACGGCTTTCAGAGGGTGGAAAGACGGATACCTTGGAAGTGAACCAAGCACTAACCAAGGCCGTGAAGGTCTAACTGCTGGAGATCATTCATCCGCAGACGGGTGTTTGGGGGGATTATACCGAAAATATGGAAAGTGAGAGCCATGGTATAACAAGAGGGTCCGAGCATACCTTTGAGATTTCTCGAAAACGGTACGGCTTCGAGCGAGGTAATGCAGCCTGACGATGTATTGCAACATTCAAAAAGGTTGCAAAGTATCACTCCTTCAAGTACTCCGTACCACAGAAAGCATGTTCATTACCACCTAATAGGATACTCGAATACAATAAACCGTCAGGGGGCCAGGGGCGTGGGGGGCAAAACCGAAGACTATCCATAGTTCATTTGCAGGTGCTATTTTTCTCAGATGGCGGCTGTAATTCTGTGCTGATGAGCCGGAGGACCCTCGGGTACAGGAGCCATCCAGCATTCCAGACGAAAGCGGTCGAAAACGACACGGAGATATACGTATTCTCGTGCGCCCTCCAACCAAGACATCTGAGTCCAAAACTCTAGGAGAGGGCATGTGGATGTATCGTAGAAGGAGCCGATATCCGAAACATTCGGACAGATAGAAGCCCGTCTCTTTCATCGGCGGCCAATTTCATTTTTGCAAGTAGAAGTACAAAACTGGGAGGAAACCGTAAGAGGCTGAGCGGCTAATCATATCATGCCTCAACGAATAAGACCTTAGGTATTCTTGCAAAAATTTTGGAGTCTTGACAGTTTGGCCACTGACATCACGTCTTCAAAATTTTCATTTTAAAAACAGGGCTTTTGTTGAGTATTCGTTTGGTACAGGCTCCGTTCCTTATGGTAGCTCATGGGACGAGCTATGTCTCCAGTTTAGCCCAGCTACCTTCACACTGTAGAATTCTGTTGAGCAGAGAAAACGCTCAAACAGCCAAAGCTGGTAATTGGACATGAATTCCAAGCACAGGGCTCGATAGGCGAGACATAATGTCTAGGCCGTCGGAGACTGCCGGCGTCAAGAGACACCAAAAGGTCCAAAAGAAAAATAGTTAGACCAAGAAAAGAAAAAAGAGCGCA